TTTGGTAAAATGAGCCCAAATTTGTTCTGTCGTTTGTCGGTTTGTAGAGTTTGAACATCTCTGATTTGCATTTTGTAGATGTGATGTATGACTTGTGACAGGTAGTCACTGTCATGTTGAAGTGCCAACCTGTCAATTAAAACAGTGATTAAGCTTTGAAAAATCATTTTTTTGAAAAGGTGATTTTATGCAATGTTGAACACCGGTCACAATATTAATTTATAGCTAAATACTGTCGGACATCATCAAATATTACAAAAACTAAAAATTCATGAATATAATCATAACAATTTGTTTTTAGACCAATTATACACTAAATTGAGTTCAGTAACTTATGATTTATAACTTATTAATCTGAATAAAGAGTTTAAATAAATGTTGCATCATTAGCTGTCATTTTTTCGTGAACACGTACTGTGTTCAGCTCTGGGTTGAGTCGCATTGCCCAAAGTATTCGATATTTATTCGAGCTTCTTAAGGTTTAATATGTTTGCATTATTCGATATTTTTAGCTTATTCTTTTGACATAGAATAGTGATCGTGGCCCCGCACCGAGCTCCCATGGATCCTAATTGATCACATTGTCATTATATAGACAGTGTCTATAAAGTTACAATATAATCGATTATAATCCGTTAAAAATCGATTATAATGATACTAATTTTCGAAGCAATAAAATCCTTTATAATCAATTATAAGCGATTGTAATTGATTTTTTTTTGAGTTTTCCTCCACAAAATTTAATTGAGTTATGATCCATTAAAACCAACATTTAACATTTTTTATCTTTTATATATGCTTGTTTTAGGAAAATTTTGTAATTTTACATCTTTAAACTTGCTTTTTTTCTTCCAGACATAAATAGAACTAAAAATAGAATTGCCAAATTAGCGAACAAAAAGGGATTATAATGGATTTTATTGACAAAATAATCGATTTCTGTGACACCAATATTGGATTAAAATCGATTATAATGAATTATAATGGATTTTTTTTTCAAAAATAATCGAATAAAATGGCAATATAATCAATTTCGTGGTCTGAATTTTACATCCGTAATGGATTATAATAGATTATTTTTGTCTCGGGGATCCATTATAAACGATGAGAATCCATGGGCGCTCGGTGCGGGGGCTCATCCTAAGCAGTTTGTTGCAGCAATTTTAATTTATCCAACGAAACTGTAGGCTTCCAGTTTCTGTAAAAAAAATAAACGTCTTCTAGACATAACATGATATTTATACCGCAATGTGAGTTTCAATTTTGGTGGATTAGTCAGAAGTTGCTTCAAAGACAGGCACGGCAGTCGAGAAAATGCAAGTCTTTGTACTGATACGAGCAATCTTATTGCGTTGAAAATTTTGCTTTTTCTTTCTATATATAATATTTCAGACAATTTTGTTATTGATACATAACCCTTTGGGAGTGTCACAAATAACTCTGCTCGTTGAGGTTTAATTTGCTAGGAAAGAGAACGTTTTTTGGTTAAAAGTAATAGTTTTTAGCTAATCAGGCTTAAGCCTAGTACATGCAGTCCTTATTGCTTGAATTTGCCATTTAAGTTTAGGAAGGAGGTTGTTCACTTGGTATATCCAGGGAGAGATTGTTCACATACGCCGCTCAAATTTTTACCATCTTTTTTCTTTTAACGGTAGCTTTTTATCATCTGAAAGTTATCTATGCTCTGAGCAAGCAATTAAAAAAACATTATCCCTGCAATAATTTTAGCAGAGTTTTGGGCGTTTGGAAATCGCCATTGTTGACAATTTATGATAATTAAACAGCAATACAGCTCGTCCTATTAAAATCAAAGCGTAGATTTAATCTGTTTCAGACAATGTTCCAAAAAGAATTGAGGCAGTCTGTTTAGTCTTACAATTACGTTATTTTGTACTTTCATTACAAGCGGGGGGAGGGGGTTTCAAAGTGTGGGGTTGCATGGTAAAAATAAAACAATATCTTATATCTGTTTTTTTTTATTTGCTTTTGAAAATTCATTCAATTTTTGCTTTAGAAAATATTCAAAAACTAGTCAAAGATTTCATAGTTTTTTCTCAATATGAGTAATATTTTGCCGCTTGGTCGATCAGTCACATTGTTTTACCGTGCATGTTGGTTTTCTACTATTCTCGCTGCACTCTAAATGATATGAAAATGCCTTTTTTACTTTACTGATATATTTGATGGCTGCTTTCACGCGAACAGTCTTAAGAGTTTTTTGAAAACGCAAACAGGTAAAAAAATTGAGGGCGAAAAACAATTTGACGGCGTCGAAAGTGTGTTAAAAAAATCTGCGCTGACTCAATACCGTACATCAAAAGCCCTAAAAACTAAATTTCGCACACTTGACCAAACAATTTCAGCTCAAAAAATTTTGTCAGGGCAGGTTCTTTTTATTAATTTAGTAGAGCTCGGAAAAAAATTAGAAACAATCCTAACAAAGGTGGACATATTTTCGATATTTTTTGGAAAAAAATGGATCCGCTTCTGTCTCTGAATTGTTTGCATTTAATTTTTTTTTTGTAATAATTTTTTGACTACAGGAAACCTACCTTAGAACTTTCTATTCGACTAAAGTATCCTTAGAAAAATAAAATTTTCTGTCAAATGTTTTTTTGTTTTTTTTTCTGATATTTTAGTAAACGGGGGAGAAGAATAACGAATTGGAAGTTTTTTGTCCCTCGGCATACCCGAGTTACACCCATTCAACTTCAAATAGAGTCTCATTGTGACTTAACATTATCGATAGCCTAAGTTGCCATTTTCTTCCATGTTCCAAATTCCTTTTTATTAAGTCAGCACAAGCCTTGCCTGAGAGAGTATTTGGAAAGTTTTTTCAGTCTTGTTTCTCCAAAATTTGAGAGAGAAGTCACAAGATGTAGTGCATTAGATTTTCGCAATTGAAAAAAAACATTCGTCTTCAAAAAAAATAGAACACTGAATGTCAACTAGCTGCTAAGGTGGCAAAAACTTACCCGATCTATAAATCGATAACGATGTTTTATCAAAGTTTCGACTCATCGTTTCTCGAACAGCATTTTGTTGAGCGGAGTACAGTTCGCCCTTAATATTATTTTAACTTGGGAAATGATTAATTAATTAAGGAAACATTTTCCCTTAAAATTCTATAATTTAATTAAAATGATGCCACGACTTTGTAAATATCCCGTTTCTTTCTATATTCATAATTAGTATAAGCAAAGCGTAATCGAAGCATGCAAGAAAGTTTGGTCCGAGTATCCGGTGAAATTGAATACCATAATTGTGTTAGAATTCTAAACATCCATAAAGTTTTTCTTAACTTCCCGAGTTGAACTGCTCGTTCGGCGTATTGAAGGGCTTTCATGTTGCGTTTTTGCGTCAATTTGAGCCTAAAAAACTGTCTGCCGATGAAAAGTTTGACTTTTTTAATGAAGAAAACTAGAATATCTTGTGACTATGATCAAGCAACATTGACAAAACACAAAGTTCAAAATTAAAGTCTGTAATTAGAACTCTGGAAAAAAAGCGAAGCATACCTTTTCATACATGATATTAAAAAAAAAGTTGTCCAATTTCAATTTGCCTTTTCGGATGCAACATCATTTCTATGAGAAACAAAAAATTAAATATGCACACCAAACTTGCACTTTTTGTCAATAAGGTAGTCAGGGGCGGATCTAGGATTTTCTCGAAGAGCGGGCGGATTTTGTGAAAATTTTGTCTACCTTTTTTTAGTAGGCCGATCAAATTGTTTTTTCGAGCTTCAAAGTATACTAAAAAGACCCTGGTTTGGCCAAACTTTCTGCGCCGCACGCAAAATTTTGAAAAAAAAAGCCAAAAATGGATATCTCAAAATAGTTCGAAGGGGACCCTATCAATTGGCAGGGAGTCGAATCCCTAAAGAAAAGGCGTCCGCACCTCCCCCCCCCCCAAATCCGCCCCTGAAGGTAGCCCAGCGACGGCTATATATCAGAAAAAAGACTACTTCCTGATTGATCCGACTAAACATTAACTGGTTTCGAATTGTTTTTGGCAAAAGAAACTTTGGTTGATAACATCAAACACAAGATTTAAAAATCAGTGGTATTTGGAAATATTACAATCAATTAGCTTGGCTCAATTCAACTCAGAGCAACGTGTTAGTCTTTTACCATCAAAATATCAACCAGGCTGTTTAATTAGATTGTCACAGAGCTGTTTACTGGCTTTACTCAGAGAGAGCATTTTAACCAGGCTAATACCATTGCGTGCGCCCCCTTGCCTCCACGAAGACCAGAGATTGGTCACCCTACTCAGCAAATAGTTCTTTTTGAAACATGTCTGAATAAAAAAAACCATCCTAAGCATATATATTCCTCACTTTTTTCGAAAGTCAGAAAAAAAGGAAAACGGATTTTCAAAAAATTTTCAAAATTTTGTCGACCTTTTTTTTAGGTCGACCAAATTGATTTTCGGAGCTCTCCTAAAGCAGTAAAAAGACGCTGTTTTGGCCAAATTCTCTGCGCTGCAGGCAAAATTTTGAAAAAAAAACTATCAAAAAAGCCGTTTTTGGGCACTTTTTGCAAAAATTTTACCAAAAAATCGCGTTTTTTCGGCACGCGCTCCCCCCTTAAAATAAGTATATATTGGCGCCCAAGGCACCTTTAGAAAAATTTTAGGGTCCGTCAGTCAAAATTGGATATCTGAAAATAGTTCAAAGGGGTCCGCCCCTGAGGTCATATATAAAAAATACTTTATTATTTTTTAGGCTTCTATGTCAGACAATTGTAGTTAGTATTTATGGCAAATCGCCAAATAGGTTGGTCTATGATATCCTTGTTGCGTGATTTACAATTTTTTCGTTTGAACCATGTGTGCTGTTGTGGATACAAAAAATCCAAATCGGTTATCTAAAAATTCTAGTGCTATTTCATCAAGAAAAGCAGAAAAAAAACTGCTTTAAGGAAAAATTGAAAAACATGATACTTTTATACAATTATTTTAATTTCTGTCATAAATCATAGAATTAATTGGCAAACCTTTTTGGCAACCCGGTGTTCCTGAAATACGAGCCTTGAGGGCAACTAAAACGCAGATATATTTCGAGAAACGAAAATTCTCAAAACAAAAAATGCCAAAAGAGGCAATTTGCTGCTAAGCAGAAAAAGAAAATGAAAAATTCAATAGAACCATTCAAGATGAAAATTAGAATTTCAAGACAAAAGAAAAAACAAAGAGGTGATTGACTTTTTTCTGAAAACAATTAACACTTCATTGTCAAAACACGTGAAAAAGTCGGCCATTCTAATTTGAGTTGCGTACAATTTGTCATGTATGCAAGCATTTTTTCAATAATCGCCCATTTCCTCAAAGTTTCAAAGCTGTGCAATCAATCAAGGATATCAGTACAAAATTTTCAAGAAAAAAACCTACTTGAAAAAAATATCTGAAATTTTGAGAATCTTGCAACTCGTTCCATTGAAAAAACTATGTTGCTCCTGCTACGAAAAAGTATGTCCAAATTGCAAATTACTCATTTTTTAAATGATGTAGCGCGTAAAATTGCGTTAACTAACCCTCCACAAACTTTAAAACCCTAGTTTTGACTTTTAACGTTAAGAGTCAATTGTTATCAGCTTCATTGAAATTGACCGATACATTATAATTTTTACTGCAAAAAAAAGCAGAGACACTACATAGAAGAATCGGAAAAAGTATTAAATCTTCAAAAGTATCTGGTACAAAAATATAGGCCTAGAGAAAAAGGGACACTATAAAACTGTAACAGTTTTGTACAATTTTGTTTTCAAAAAACTGGCAAACATTTTTTTGGAAAATTATGCTAGCTAAATTTTCCCGTTTTGGCAGACTTCAGATAAATTTTCGAAGCTATTTTTCTAGATTTTTTAATAATTGCGAATTATGAGCAAAAAATTCGACTCAAATATTTTTCTGAATTGAGCTGAAACTAATTAGTTGATCCAATAGGAGTGTTGATAGATACAAAAGTAGTCATTTGATTTTTAAAATAGTGTGAGGCAATTAGCGATGGTACCAAATCGAAAATGTTCTAATTCGTCCCTTTAAAGCGTTACCATTCACAACGTTCACCATACATCTCTCGTCACATGTGTGGGAAATAAAACTACCTCAAGAAAACGATGAAACCAGTTTTTCTTTTTCCTCAGTTCAAAGTTTTTTGTGCCAAAGTTTTCTTATGCCAAATTTTATGCTAAAAATTATTATATAAAACATAAAGTCGGTTGTGCGTTGATAAGAGCAGTTATGTGGCAATTGATAGCGAGTTATGCTCGTCATGCATTTTCTAAAGATCTTCAGCAAGTTTGACGTCACTTCAGTTTTGAGAAACTATCAGCACCTGATAAACTTGCCAGAGCCCTTTTCACCCATTTTTGATCGATAAGTTGTACTTGCTGGCCTCTATCATGTCTTATCTCCACGATGTTTATCGTATAAAAATTTTAAACAGCAAAGCAGCAGATATCTGTTAGTGCAGTCCGAACATGAAGTTCTACGAAATTCTTGATGGATCAGACTAAGAAGATAAAGTTGAGCGAAATTTGAACTGTAAAATTAAGTTGATAAACTTGCTCATCAAAAATTACGGAAACGAATTGTTACCTGGGCAATTATTTGTTTCAATTTGATGAAAAGTACTTTTTACTAAGTCTTAGTTTTTATGATTTTTATACTGTTTGACAAAGCAAAATTAGCAAGTAAATACAAAACTTTTAATTAATATGGTTACTTGGTGCATACAAAACAGTTCCATACAAAACAATCCAATACAAAATAGTCGCAAAAATCATGTAGTGGAGGAAAAAACAGTCCAATACAAAACAGTCCGATTTAAGGTCGGCGATGGGCGCGCGCGCTTCTCGGCGATAACCGGCTGTAAACTTCGTATTAAGTCCTACCCTCTGTTGGCAAGCTCGCAACACGTTGGCGCGACTGCGGTGGTCTTTATTTTGTTTATTATGCTTACCGAACAAAGGACAATTATCGGCCTGCCGGCTTGTTAAAACAATTATTAATTGGGACTGTTTTTCGGACTGTTTTGTATTGGACTGTTTTTTCGTTCATTTTCATACTTTTCCGGACTGTTTTGTATTGGACTGTTTTGTATGGGACTGTTTTGTACAGACACGGGTTACTTGATACATAAGTTTTCTAATTTTGCTGCTAATTACAAAAATGAAATAAAGAACTGAACCAAAATGTTCATTTTGTGTGGTAATTCAGATTTAAATTACAAAAAAGTAAGAAAAATTATTGTGTGTTCACGCGACATAATAACTTATTGATTTTACGCCTCTAGTTTTTTTGTGTCAAAAATTTAAGACCGCAAAAAGCTTACAAAATTAAAATTTTTGTCTAAAACTACGCAGAATAAAACTATTTTACAATGTTTTACGACTCTCTCAATTGTTGTGGTGACTTTTAAAAATCACTAAGTTTTCGAAACAGTTTTTCACAATCGTATTTTGACAACAATTTTTCACAAAAGTTTTCCTCGACAACTGACGTAAAATCGCTCAACCTCAAATCACATTAAAAATAAAAAAGGATTCTGTGTTCGCTCTGATGTAAAAGAATAAGTTCATTCTTATTTATATTGCTTTGTTTTATCTGCATCAAAAATTGCGTGCGAGAAAAACAATCAAAGCTGGAATCAGAAACTAGAAAAAGATTTTTTAAAACTTGCTCAATATTTTTATTGTTTGCGAGCTGTTTTTTTTAAATAAAATTAATCCACCAATACCACAAAATTGGTATAATAATTTGAACTTGAAGATCTGCGACAAATGTTTTTGAACGTGTTAAAAGAATACAAAAAGATTTTACGAGATCTCCAAAAACTTATGACTATTTGTGCTACAATTTTTTGAGTATAATCAAAACAATACTTCTTTAAGTGCTTACCAAGGTAAGGTTCATTCTCAAAAAAAGTTATTTTAAGATAAATTAATGTTAAAGTTTTGTATGCTATATAGAACATATAAATTTCTATTTCTAGTTCGAAGAAAAGTTTTCATAATACGACTTTTAAATTTGATATATGGGGGCTTGGTCTCCATACAAAAAGAATTAGATAGCCAACCTTTTACCCGAAATTACAAAACAGTTGGATTTTCTGATTACATATAATTGAATTTAACTTTTTGATTTTCTACAATTTCTATCAAAATTTTTCCTATTGGAGAATAAAAAAAAACGTTTATGATTTTAGCCGAAATATTTCGATTAGTATTATATTGAATAAATTCTGGCAGCTATGTTGAAAAAGGAAGAACTATTACGCACAAGACATCATTTCTTCAATTGGTAGAAGCCTATTGTGTGTTCAAAAACGTTTTGGATTGACGTTTTGCATTTGGATGGCTCAAAAACGTTTTGAATTGAAAATTTCAGATTGTAATTTTAAACATGAACAAAAAAACTTTGTTCTATATATTTTTTTATAGTTTTTATGACTTGAATAAGTGAAGAAACAAAAAAAATTGACACAATTAATTTCGACGTGTTGAATATTTGTCGCAAAAAAACCGTCGAATTCAAAAGTCTTTTTAAAAATTGCTGTCGGGAATACATACAGTAAATTAATTGCGTTTGAAGCTAAACGCTAGATAAAGTGAGCGAATCTTTTTTAGTTAAAAATTAATACAACGGCTTCGTTTTTAAACTTAGTGATTTAGCAAGTCTAAAATTTCTTGCAGATTACAAAAAAGTCATTTACCAGAGAATCGCTTGTGAGAAGACGCAAAGAACTTACCGATAATACTTTTTTTTTAAATATAGCACTCATTTAATCCAATATATTTTTTTGCTTGATAATATCCATATGGAATCAAATTCAGCAAGAATATATGAACTTAACTAGCAGCAGTTTCATGTATGAAGCAGAAATCAATAAATTCAAATTATGCGTATTGTTTATTTTTAATGAACATTGATTTGTGATAATCTATTAAAAAGTGACATAGAAACTATTTGAAATTATTTGAAGGTCAATTTAGTCAATTTTTGTCCTTTATCCTTACATTTGGAGTTTGATTCAATACAATTTAAACTTGCAAAACGTTCAATAATGCCATTGTCTTTTCCTATTTTTTGGTACAAAACATCGGTTGAAGGAAACAATAAAATAGTTTCTCCCTATTCAAGTTTCTTTTTGAGACACCAGAACGCATATGCGAGGTTATCTGCAAATTAATATCAAGAATCGCGACAATGAAAGTACAATGGTTGCCACATTACCTGACGTCAATTTAAAGCAAAAAAAATCTGGAGTTGTGGGTGATAGAAATAAATACTACGACCTTGACAAAACATCAACCCTGACAAAATGCAGTTCACTTGAGGTCTGGCTCGAACACAGTAGTAATTTTGTTTGCACTATTTATCAGTTTTTCATTGTCACACGCTGACACATACGCGTCCATCATCATTATTCCTTTGTGCTGCTGAAGTAATTTCGCCTCAATGTTGTTGACCTTCTTTAAGTCTGGCTTTGGAACACGTGACAAAACAAAAGCCATATCGTCTGCTTTCCCAATTGCTCCTTTGCAAATTTGACATGAATAAACCAAGACAAATTCTTGGTCCACGTGAAGTATGTAAAAGTTCGCTCGCTTTATGGTGTGAATGGTTTTTTGGTCATGCTGTGAATTGAGATAGCAAAATGGAGGTATGCACCAAAATCGTTCAGTCGTTTGGTAAAATGAGCCCAAATTTGTTCTGTCGTTTGTCGGTTTGTAGAGTTTGAACATCTCTGATTTGCATTTTGTAGATGTGATGTATGACTTGTGACAGGTAGTCACTGTCATGTTGAAGTGCCAACCTGTCAATTAAAACAGTGATTAAGCTTTGAAAAGTCATTTTTTTGAAAAGATGATTTTATGCAATGTTTAACACCGCTCACAATATTAATTTACTGCTAAATACTGTCGGACATCATCAAATATTACAAAAACTAAAAATTCATGAATATAATCATAACAATTTGTTTTTAGACCAATTATACACAAAATTGAGTTCATTAACTTATGATTTATAAATTTTTAATCTGAATAAAGAGTTTAATTTAATGTTGCATCATTAGCTGTCATTTTTTTGAGAACACGTACTGTGTT